GGCACTCAACTGTGAAATTGTCTCAGACAGGCCACACCTCCAGAGACGCCAGCCCTTCTCCGGCCGGAGGCTTCCCGTGCAGCTGCCTGGGCAGCCCCTGGCACAGCCGCAGCTGTGGTCTGAAGCCCCCTTCCCCTCTGGGCACATGCATGACGGACAGCGAGGTGACCCTGGCCTCCCTCTGGCCAGGCTGTGAGCGAGGCCTGCAGAGGCAGTGGCAGAGCCCACCCCCCACACCCCCCGCCACCCAGCATCCTTCTGCTGCCCCTGCACCTAAAGATCCAGTACAGGGACCCACCACCTGCTGGGGCTGCCACTGACGGGCCAGCCCTGGGCACCCCTGGGCATGCATGGAGCAGGGGAAGGGGGAAGCCGCGGATCCCACATGTGTTTGCTCTAATCTGGGGGACAAGGGCCAGGAGAGCTGGGGATGCTGGAAAGGTGGCGGCAGATGGGAGCAAAGGGACTCAAGAGTGGGGAGGTGAGGGAAGAGGCTTCTCAGAGTGCAGTGGGCAGTGCTGTGCGCAGCCTCCTGCCAGGCCTCAAGGGCAGCAGAGTGTGAGGGCAGGAGGGGGAAGGAGGACTCTCCACTTAACCTCAGACCTGCAGTGCACACGGCCCGTGGCCCCATCCTGACCCCGACGGCTCTGCTGTCCCTGTGAGAGAAACCCTAGCTGGGAGCACACCCCATGCCCCCTTATCCACCCACTCCCTACCCCTCCTGCCCCATCTCTGCTCTGCCTACCTGCCAGGGCTCAGTGAATTTGGGGTCATTGCCCTGGGACCCTCAAAATGTGGATAGGAATCCCTGGTGTCCACGCGAGCTCCTGTGGTGCCGTGGCTGGCAGGCCCGGGCTGTGGGCTCACTCACTTGTCTCTGGGCTCTGCCACTTACCAACTGTGCGCCCATGGACAAGCCCTTTGCCCTCTCCGAGTCCTCACCACCCCCATCTCTATGGCGACTTTCCCGGGTACCTGCTGTGATGGGTCACTGCCCAGCTACTTCCTCCTGTTGCTACGAGACAAGGTGTCGCTGTTCCCTGGATACCAACAGTGGTAGTCGGCGGGAGGGGGGCCTGTCTCGCGCCACGATTTCATATCCAGACTTTTCGATACCTTGCTCCTTTGCTGCAATGGGTCACAGAGGTGTACTGAAGTGTGTCAGGCTACCCTACAGCTTCTATTAAAGAAAAGTCTTTAGCTTTATTTGCTAGGCAGACTGACAGAGGGAGGGAGAAGGGTCTTCCATCCATTTGTTCACTCCCCAGATGGCCATGACAACCCGAGCTGGGTGAGCCCCAAGCCAGGACCCAGGGACCCCCCTGTGGCTGCAGGGGCCCGAGCACTCGACCACCTACTGCTGCTTCTCAGGCACTTTAGCAGGGAGCTAGATAGGAAGTGGAGCAGCCGGGACTCGAGCCAAGCACTCCTGGCCTGGAGTGTGGGTATTGACAACCAGCTTACTACCCGCCCATGTTAAGCACTGGGAGGGGCAGGCTTGCCTCTGCCCCATGTGGATCTGAGCTTCGCTGGCATGGCTGGTGCTGCTGCAGACAGCTGGGCCGGCCCGTCTGGATCTCGTTTCTGGGTCATGGTCATTCTTACCGGTGACGGACTCGGGGTGCCTCCCATCACCGGACAGCCTTGGCTTCTTCCTAGAGTGACATCAGGCCTCTTGGCCCTCTGACGCAGCAGCTCCTTGCCCTTGGAGCAGACCTTCCTAGGGAGTCCCAGGGTAGGGGCAGTTGGCCTGAGAGGGTGGGCTTGCGTCAGAAGTCCCAGCATGCACTCTGTCTGATTTCGATCTCTGGCCCACCCAGATCCTGTGGGAGGAATGGCGACGGTCGGCCACCTTCTAGCCTCCACGCTGGGGCTAGGGAGGGGGTCCTGGCTGCAGCACGGCTCTTCCATGTCAGGCTGACCACAGCCTGTGATGCCCGGGGGTCCACCCACTTGGGGGGCCAGGTGGAAGGCCAGGAGGCTAAGCCCTGGGCAGGCTGCAGGGGACAGGAGAGAGGCTTGCTTCCTCTGCCTGCCGCATGTTAGAGCAGCCCAGGGTTCCTTTAGTTCCTGTTGGCTATGCGGCCTCAGTTTCCCAGTGTGTAAACTGGGGTGCCGCACCCCCGTTTCCAAGGATTGGCAGGAGGCTTAGGCACATGGGTGTCTGTCATTAGAACAGAAAGTTCACCCCTTGGGCCGAAACAGTGGCTCTCTGTCCTGTAGTTGGAGAGGAACAAGCAGTGCTGACGACATGCCAGCGCCCTGCCCGCTGTCCCAGCAGGCAGGGTGGGTGGTGGGATGTGGGTGGTCACGTGGCGAGAGAGTCTTCTGAAGTTGAAGGAAGCTGAGGGTCTGAAACCGCCTTTCCCATCTGCCAAGCAGTTTTCAGTGTTGTTCTTAAGCACTATAGATGGGGCTTTTGGAAGCTAAAGAAATCTCAGCAGACATCTGATTGATTTTTTTTTATCCGTGGGTGGGCCTGGGGCAAACAACTGCCATTTCCTATGGGGCGGCTCACACCAGTGGCCCCCCAGTCCCGATTCTCCAAACCCTCCCTGCAGGTTGGGTAAAGGTGTCACTTGGGGTGTAGGATGAGCGCCTGACCAGCAGGTGGCAGTAAATAACAGACAACCAGCCTTGCCGACGGCCTGCCTGGCTCTGGCCTGGCTTCCTTCCCAGCAGCCCAGTCCCTGCCAGCAGATGCCCCACTGCCATGAGTCGCTTGCAGAGGGCACGAGAGGGTGATGGCCACCCACAAGTCTGGCTTTCAGGGACTTAGAGTGACAAGAAGACGTCCCCCACCCTGCCCCCAGGGTGGGTGAAGACGCCAGCTTTCTGGGGAAGGGACCTCGTGTGGGTGGGAGTCCATCCCTGCTTCTCCCAGGCTTCATGGGGTGTAAAGCAGAAATAAAGGCAAGGGCGGCCCTCCTTGCTTCTCTTTCCAAGGCTCCGACCACTGACTCGTGGGTGCCGTGGGGGCCTCCTGGAGCTGTGCTGGGTGCGTGAGTGTGTGCACACAAGTGTGGTGTGTGTTTATTCATGCATGTGTGTGTCGTGTGTATTGTCACTGTGTGTGCATGTGTGTGCATGTGTGTCCTGTGTGTTGAATGTGGGCAGGTGAGTGTGCTGTGTGTGTGTTGGTACACGTTTGTAGGTAAGCACACGTGTGTGAGTGTAGCCACGTCCGTGCTGGTGTGTGCAGGGGTGTGTGGCAAGAGCTTTGGTTCTTTCCAGTCCGCTCAGGGGCCAAGGCGGCCTCCCCGGCTTCCTGGGGCCGACTGATGAGCCTGTGCCAGCTCTAGAAACCTTCCTGCGCCCCCACCACCCCCACCGAGTCCCAGGCCGGGAGCCTCTAAGCACAGTCAGGGACTGTGGTCTGTGGGGACTCAGGCGGCAGGTTGGACGTGGAGGGAGGGACTCAGGTTTCACTGGAGAGCCCTGAGCTGGTGGCAGGGCCCTCACCAGGTCCGGTTCCCTGACTGCCGCAGCATCAGCGCCCAGAGCCGGGAAGTCAGAGCCGCCATCGGGGAGAGCCGGTCCTGCCCAGCCCCGTCTTACAGGTTAGGACTGTGGAGCTGTGACAACATGCAGGAGGGGCAGAGTGACAGTCATGGAGCCTCAGCCCTGTGACCAGCTCCCTGGGGAACAGGAGCAGCCAACCCCAGGCCGTTGGGCACTGCCCACTGTGTAGGAAATGCTGGGAGCCACGCCACAGGCCCCTGTGAGATCGTAGGAGACGTTCCAGAATTTGGCTGCAGCGGGCCCAGGGGTGCACGCGGTGGTGGGGAGGATGCATGGGAGGGAGCCTCGCTCAGCTGAGTGGGCGCCCATGGGGAGTGTCGCTGGGTCCTCTGACACTGGGATCTCAAGCACACTGGGAAAGTCATACCACTTGTCCATCCCTTCTTTCAGCATTTATTAAGCGCCTACCATGTGCTGGGCAGCATTGCGGGAGCCGGAGCGCAGCAGCACCCAGGCCTTCCTGGGTCAGGTGGATGCTGGCAGCAGTGCAGGGTGACAGGGTGTTTGCCTTCCTGTCTTGGGGGGCAGGGCTTACTTTGGTCCTGACTCTCAGTCCACGCGAGCTATCACTCTCCCGTACCCAGTCCTCCCGAAGTGTGACCTTTGCACCCTTCGCCACAAAGCCCCTGGCACCTCCTGTGCCTTTCCACCCAGAGCTGCATGCAGTCACGTCCTGCCCTCCCAAACACAGACCGCCAAGCACCTCTGCAGACTGAGGGAGTTTGATTTGTGGATCTGCGTGAAGACCCTCTGTGTGCGCATGCGTGTACGTGATAGGTGCTGTGTGTACTGATGCTGCACCTGCTGTGTGCCCAGCATGGGAAGCTAAGAGGCAGGACCCCGTGTGCCATGGAACCCACATGTCTTGGGGGTGAAGGTGTGGAGCCGTGGGACCCAGAACCACCCCTGTGATACGGGAGGCTGCGAGTGAATCATGAGGTGCACCCCTGGCTGGGGAAAGGTGGGCGGCTCCCCGGGGAGGTCATGTTACTGAGTCCACGGTTGGCCCCAGCCTAGGCGTGGGAGGGGGACAGTGTACTGGGGGGAAGGGAGAGACCCCAGAGAGCCCCATTGCCCCTTCCACTCCGTGGTGTGCAGCAAGTGGGCCCACACGAGACCCCAAATCTGCATTGGCCTTGAGCTCCCAGCCCTCTCCTGCCCCCTGCCAGAGCTGCAGTGAGTTCACGTCCATTGTTATGAGCCCCGCTCCCCTGGCCTGGTATTTTGTTGTTGTTCCCTGAACAGACCGACAGCCCACATGTCTCTGGAGAGTTGAGAAGGAAGCTGGCTGCAGTGAGAGGGGGTGTGCTGTCAAGGTCAGGAAATGGGCACCGAGAAGGTGCCCCAGTGGGTGTCTCCGCTCAGGCAGTCAGGTCCCCGTCCTCACTGCCAGGAGCCGGAGGCCCTTGTCCCCACAGTTCCCAGGGCTCCCAGCTCCCCGCCAACCAGCAGAGCTCTCACGGCCGCTTCCTCTGCAGTCCCCGACAGCATCATCATGAAGATGTTGACTCAGCGCCTGGAGCAGCAGGACAGCGTGCAGAAAGGCTGGGTGCTGCACGGCTTCCCGCGGGACCTGGACCAGGCGCAGATGCTGGACAGCCTGGGCTACAGCCCCAACAGGTGAGCCGCCCCTCCCCCTGGGGTCCCTTCAACAGCTCCCGGGCCACGCTTGGTCCCCTCCGTCTGTGCCCGGGAACTGGGGGTCAGGCCCGGCTTCGGATCCTGGTGCCCCTTGCTCGAGCCACATGTCCACATCAACACACACCCCTACACTCTGCCACGTCTTGTCTTCCTCCTGGAACCGCGCTGCCAACGCACTGCTGTCTGCGTAGCTTGGGTTTTGCAGTTAAGACTAGCTGGTACTTGGATGCGGGTTTCCAGCGTGAACCTCTGCTCCTTCTGCTGGTCTGAAGTTCCCATTCCTTACTTCCTCTAACAGCGTGAGCCTGAGAGCGCTCTTGAGATTGTATATGTTACGCAAAATATATAGGACGGTCCTGATTCGTAGAACATTTGGGGGATTTCAGACCGTTTTGGAACGTGAGCTGCTCAGTCTGTGTTGTGGAGAGACAGAGCAGCGGCGAGAACACCAGCAAAGGGGTTCTCCAGGTCGCGAGGGGGGCTCCCCCACCGCTCGGTGCTTTGGCAGACACTAAGAGGCAGGCAGAGGTGGGGGACACTCTTGTGTGGGCAGCGGGAGAGTCCGACAGGAGGCTGCTGGTGTGGCTGGCTGGGCGGGTTGACAAGCGTGCTGTCCTGTGCAGCTGGCAACGAGAGCACTTGGTTGTCTTGGTGGGTCCTATTCCGGTACACTCCTCGAAGCCAGAGGCACTGTTCACCCAACGCGTGCCACAAGCCCATCGCCGCCCCGGGTGCGGGCCGGGCAGGAAGGAAAGGTGGCCGGCCAGCACCGCGCAGGCCCGGTCAGTCCTGGGCCCTCTCACAGGCACAAGCTGAGGCTGAGCAGGGCGTGCTCTAACCTTTCTGACCCTCCTGAGAGGCTGTGTGCTTTGCGGATATTGTGAAATTTAATTTAATTTTTCATGATGTTTACATAGTCAAGAAGGATGCGTGCCCATGTGGACCACTGACCAGAGTGGGAAGGGTCGAGGAACAGGGGAAAGTGGGTGAGACCATGGTTTCCAAGTTTCTTTTCTTCTTCTTGTATCTGGGGAAAGAGGAGAGAGAAGGGAGAAGCCACACCCAGCTTCCCAGCTGCCTCAGTGCCCGGGGATGGGGGACGGGCACCCCATGTCACCCCGGGGTTCCTGATGTGGAGCGTGTGTGGAGGGTTCTGCTCAGGTGAGTTTGGTAGTTCTGAAATGCTGTCCATTTCCCCACTCCAAGGATGAGAAAAATCTCTCCTAGGTCCACTGGCTGACGTGGGCCACCTTAGAGTTTCCATCCGCCCAGATACTTGCTGCCAACGCTTGCTGGGGTAGTTGACCAACTTGTCTTACCCTCCTTCCTCTGCTGCGGTGTCAGTTACTTTCTGCAGGCCCCAGTGGCCTGCCGTATCCTCCATGTGCGTCTGGGTGTGCTGCCCACTGCTCCATCTGCGTCACCGAGGAGGCCCGGTTCTGACACATGCACTCCACGGTCAGACCACAGATCTGGGATCCCCAGGGTGGTTGGAGTTCTGAGTCCAGCGGTCCAGCTGCATGAGGGTTCCCCAGAGAAACCTCACCAGAGGTGACCTCAGACCTGACTGCTGTGTGTGCCAGTCAGTACGGGGTCCAGCTCAGTCTGTCACCCGCGTAAGTCTACATTCACACTGGTGGTTGCAGGTGCCTGGTGGGTTCTATCTCCAGCCCCATCTCTTACACAAAGCGATGGATTTGCAGCCCAGCCCAACCCTGCCCACCACACACTCAACCCTCACAGCAGTGGGAGCTGCAGCCCAGTCGGAGCGACCCCCCAAGAACCCCCAGCAGGCCTGCCTCCAGTCATTATTCTTGTGTAGGCCAGTATGTTCTTGTGGGAGCTTTGAGGATGGTGCGGTGGGCCCCAGCCAGTCATGTGGCACTGACTTCTTGGAAAAGAGGGGGTGATAAATGACCCCACAGGGCCAGCTGCACCGGGTCTTCAATTCTGTGAGTCAGTCTTAGTGATTGCAGGGCAAGGCTGGGGGAGTCCATGCAGAGACGAGGCCCTGCTGGCGGCTGGCCTCCCTTTGCACTCAAGGCAACAGGAGGACTTCCATTTCAGCACAAAACCAGAAATGACGAAAGAAGTGAGGGACCCCAGCAGGTATCCATCAAGTGCAGAGGCGTGGCCTGGCGACGGGGCAGGTGGCTGCAGGTTGTGGGGTCGAGCCCTGCCTTCCTGCGCAGTCTGGCCTCCCCCACCTACCGTGGGTCCCGGCTGTAGGCTTGAGTCCATCTCAAAGCTCTCTGTTGTTTTCTCAGGGTCTACCTACAGTGTAAGTCCCACACCGTCTAATCACTTCCGTTCTGTTGTGGCTTCCCGGAAAAGGCCTGAACTCTCATTACTCTCCTGCCTTGTCTAGTTTATGCATTTTTTATTCCAGATGAACACTAGAATCATTTTGTCATGCATGAGAGCGCTGGCCCTGCCGTGTCCACTGGAGGTCCTGTATATGTCCGACTTAATCAGCGGTGACTGAATGAACTAACTCATAATGCTGTTTTTGCCAGCAGCTCCTCGGGGCTCACTCCTCCTACTTTTTTTTCTTTGAGAGACAGAGATGGAGAAAGAGCCTCTGCCCAACGCATCACTCCCTAAATGCCCGCAGCAGCCGGGAATGGGTGGGACCAAAGCTGGGAGCCGGAGCTCCACCTGCCTGTCAGCTCCCGAGCTCTGAGGCAGGAGTTGAACCTGGGCCTTCTGACAACCAGCCTGGCTCGGTCTTGCTAGAGCCTGCCTCACCCGCTTCTGTCCCTTCTGGTGCTACGTCAGGACACGGCTGTTACTTAGTGTCCACCGCCGGTTGCTTTAAGGACTGTCTCCTGAGAGCTTTTCATCTGCGCCTTCGGGGTTTTGCAGGCGGATTGTCATCCCACACGTGTGTCCTTCGGCATCTCCTGCATCAGTCTTGTACTTTCCTAAGTGCGGGGTCACGCTGGTGGCGGGGTGTGTCGGGGGAAGTGGGTACGGCTTGCTCCTGCTGAGTTTGGCTTTTGAAGGGGTATGTGACTTCTACCCAGTGAAGGAGATACAGCGGTCTGATCTCCAGGTGTCTAGAGCGGATGCTCCGACTTCACTTAAAGCCATTGTGGGTTTTTTTGTTTTGTTTCTATTTTTGTTGTTTTGTTTTTCCTCCTTGTGACATCTTCACGGAGTGAATGAGGTCGCAGGGCAGGGATGCTGCTGGCCCCAGCTGCCTCGGTATGTGGTCCTGAGGCACCTGGGGCTACGACCCCATGACCTGCTGTCCTGCCCCCAGAATGTGGGCCCAGAGAGGGCAGGCGGGCCCTGTGGACAGCATGAGAAAGAAGTGAATTTTCACGGCCAGCCAGCGAGGCCCTGGCCGACATCTTGACCTCGGCCCCGGCAGACCCACAGCCCTCGGGGACGGAGCAGCTCGACCTGTCCTGGCAGCAGCAGGAGCGGCAGCCAACCGCTGGAGGGAGTCCTGGGGCTTTGCCCCACGAGGCCGATGCAGAGTGGATCTGAATGTTTTTTCCTCTGTGCTTTGCCGGGCTCTGGCATTAGTGACAGGGTGATTTCATAGGCTTCCCTGCTTTCTCCATTGCTGGACTCACTTTTTTTTTAAAGATTTATTTTTATTATTTTTTTATTGGAAAGGCGGATATACAGAGAGAAGGAGAGACAGAGAGGAAGATCTTCCGTCCGATGATTCACTCCCCAAGTGAGTGCAACGGGCCGATACTATGCCGATCCGAAGCCAGGAGCCTCTTCCGGGTCTCCCACGCGGGTGCAGGTTCCCAAAGCTTTGGGCCGTCCTCAACTGCCTTCCCGGGCCACATGCAGGGAGCTAGAAGGGAAGCAAGGCTGCCGGGATTAGAACCGGCACCCATATGGGATCCCAGGCATGCAAGGCGAGGGCTTAACCACTTGCGCCACCGCGCCAGGGCCCTGGACTCACTTTTAAAACCTCTGTGTTCGCCATTGCCAGGAGCGGCTCCGGGGGCAGCGAGTAGCTTGGACACAACTTGATTGATTTTGTTTGCAGTGTTGGGTCCATTTAATTTCTCTCTTTTCTTTTACAACCGGTCTTTTCCTGGAAAATCTTCTTTTTCCCCTGGGTCTTGAAATGTATCAACATAATTAACATATCTTGTGTGTTTTTCCCATTTCTTCTGAAACCACGACTGCTTTCTCTCTGTCTCTCGCGCTCTCGTTCTCTCTCTATTTATGCACTTGTGTTTATTTTTCCTTTATGAGGATTTGTTTTAACTAGCCTGACTTTAATATTTGTGTATTTTTTTTGCTTGTTTTGCCAAAGAAAGCTTGGATTTACACAATAATTCTACTTTCCTATATTCTGTATTCACAAGCTTTTGTTTCTCTCGGCTATTGACTTCTTTTGTTGAGCTTATCCTTAGCCACAGAATTCATAACTCACCTGCTTTCCATGTTCCTTGCGTGATACTAAAAGAGTTAAAACTTTACACATTATCTGTCCAACTTTAGCCACGCCTCAAATTTTTTGTGGACAAAATTGGATGTGAAATGTTACTGTGTAGAATTGTCGGTGTAAGATGTGACTAACGCTCTCAGGTATTCAGAACATAGCTTTTTCTCTTACATCTGAGAATTATCTAGGACATTTTAAAAACGTCAAGGTAGCTGACATCTTGTTATTTCAATTTTCTTATTTTTCATTGTAGTACAGAGCCTGGAGGACCAAGCATTAGGAATGAGTTATTCTGTGGATAATTGCTCAGTAGGTACTTGGGACTACAGTAGGTTTTGAGTTTAAAATCACAGGATTAAGCAAGCGTGTCAGGTTAAGCTTCACACTGTATCTTCGCCCGCCCCTGCCCTCTGCAGTGGTGCTGGCATCTTCGCCCGCCCCTGCCCTCTGCAGTGGTGCTGGCATCTTCGCCCGCCCCTGCCCTCTGCAGTGGTGCTGGCCTACCAACTGCCAAGGACCAAACACTCTGTTCTGTTTTCATCCGTATGCTCTTCCAACT